CTACTGAATGCCCCGAAGACAGCAGACAATATCAAAACATTTACAAAAACACAACAGGATGCTTCCAGTAGGGGTCGAAAATAAAACACCAGATGACTTTCCAGTAGAAAAAAGGCACTAGAACTACCTGATAGGGAATTCAAATCTCTAATAGTCAGAATTATCCAAAAGTTGAAGCAAAAAAAAGACAAAAATGAGGAAAAAATAGACAAATTCATGGAAAAGGCAGACAAATTCATGGAAAATACCAACAAAAAAATGGAATAATTCAGGAAAATAACGCAGGAACAAAATGCCAAAATAAATTCACAACTAGAAAAGGTATAAAAACAACAATTAGAAATCCAAAACATAAACAACAAGATTTCACTAATAAGACAGTGTCATAGAAGGGCTGAGGAGCAGATTTGAAACGGTGGAAAACAGGACAAGTGGAATTGAAGACAAACACTTGGATACAACTCTGAGGAAAAATCAGAAAAAAGAACAAAGAAAAATGAACAGACCCTGACAATTATGTGGGATACAATCAAAAGCAAAAATCTGCGAGTGATGGGAGTACCAGAACAGGGGGACAAAACAGAAAACACAGAGAGGATCACTGAAGAACTGCTGACAGAAAACTTCCCCAGTATCATGAAAGATGCAAAGCTGACCATCCAAGAAGCTCAGTGAACCCCATATAGGATAGACCCCAAAGAAAATCACCAAGGCATATCATAATCACACTAGCTAAAACCGAAGACAAAGAATCCTGAGAGCAGCTAAAGAAAAACAAAAGGTCACATACAGAGAAGAAACAATAAGACTAAGCTCAGATTATTCAGCAGAAACCATGCAGGCAAGAAGGCAATGAGATGACATAAATAAAACCTTGAAAGAAAAAAATTGCCAGCCAAGAATAACATATCCTGCAAAACTCTCGTTAAAATATGATGGTGAAATTGGGTCATTTCCAGGTAAACAGAAATTAACGGACTATGTAAAAACCAAACCAAGCTTACAAGACTTATTAAAGGAAGTCCTTCAATCTGAGAAAAAAACAATATCAGACCACAGGCTGAATATAGGACACAGGATTGAACTAGCCAAATACCAACCTAGGAAATGAACTCGTAAGGACTACCCAAAACCAAAAGAATTACAACAGGGAACCAGAGAGGTTAATCTGTAAATGACAACAGCATCAGAACAATAAAAACAGGGAATAAATGGTGTAGATATAGACCCTTCTAATGGAGAGGAAGTCAAGCAATACCAACTAATAATAGACTGTTTCAAATTTAGGCAGATAAGGGTAAATTTTAAGGTAACCAAAAAGAAAGTTACCAAACCTACTCATCAAAACAAGGAAGAAAAACAAACTCTCAGTAAAAACAAAACCTACAAAAACAAATGAAAAAAAAAAATCCACAAACAAAAGGAACTCAGCACAGGAGAGTAAGAGGAACAAAACTGGAGGACATTATGCTGAGTGAGATAAGTCAATCACAAAAGGACAAATATTGTATGAGACCTCTACTGTATAACTCACGTAAAAGTTTACACACAAAAAGAAACAATCTTTGTTGGTTAGGAGGGATGGGAGGAGTGGGGGGGAACTAAATAGATAAGTGGTAACTTTGGTGAAGG